TAACACACGGTTCGGTCCCACAGACAAGGCTTTGGAGGACCATAGTAACTGCGGTAGTGGAGATTGCAGGTAGCGGCCTATTAGCACACAGAGCCATCTGTTCTCCTAGGACTACCAGAAAGAAAGAAACGGCTCCCTGTATCTCCCCAAATCTTAATTCACTGAACAGAAACTGCTCGCACAGGTCTCCTTCTGTGACCTTCTTTTACACTACATTCTCTCTACGCAACCCACACCACCATTTTCTCTGCTCAAAAAGACTGCAATAGCTTCCTATTTCTCTCCTCAATTTCAGTCTGGCCTGGCAGCAATTGAACCTACACACACCAGGCACAAAATCTTTTAAAAAGTTACGGGTCAAATACTGCTTAAAACTATCTGATGGCAATCTACGTCACTCAGAACAAAAGCCGAACTCCTAATACTGGATCAGTCTAGTGACCCAGTTGACGCCCGCCTATCGACCTCTTCCCGTCACCCTTTGGTGTCTTTAGCAAGTCAAGCTCATCTCCACAACAGAACCTTTGCACTCTTCTCTCTGACTGGAATATGTAAGTTCCTTCTCAATACATACATAATCTTAGATGCCACCTTCTTAGAGTGTCTCTACTCCTGATCAGGACAGTGATTTAAGGCACTTTATCAGCCCTCCTATCACGGAGACAGAAACACCTGACGCCCACACCGTGAAGGAAGAAAGGCTCACTTTGGCACTCAGTTTCAGTGGGGTCAGTCCATGGTCGATGGGCTCCAAGGCAGAAATGGTACCATAAAAGGGCATCGGGGAGGAAAACTGCTCATGCCCTGGTGGTCAGGACACAGACAGGAAGAAGGTAAGACCGGAGAACAAGAATGCAACGAACATTCCAGGTCACACCCTCAGCAACCCACCTCCAAACAGGCCCCACCTCCTAACAGCACATTCAGCTACTAAACTCATTAATGAACCTACTGATGAGGAAGCACCCTAATGATCCAATCATCATTCAAACACATGAGATTCTGAGGGTACCTTATAGGTCTCAACCATAACAGTCTCTAATATATCTGTAATATATCAGTCTACCTGAATGTCTTATGCCTGACCTTTTATGGGTTGTTGGTATTGCCTCTTCTTCCCACCAAAATATAAGCTCCTTAAGAATATGGTTTTTATTAGTTGAATTTATCAAATATATAAATGCACTTAAAAAGCAAACAAGAAATAGATAAACAGTATTTGTTGAATGAATCATCACTATTTCCCTTAAAGATATCTAATTTGGAAGCCTCTAATAATACTTTATATTTTACAAGGAATTTTTTCATTAGGAATATGCGATTTGTGGTAGGGAATTTTATTTTAAGGCATGCCTATAATGGAATATATATCAATTAGCTATATCTACAACCTAAATCTATATCTATATCTAACTATCTATCTATATATATATACCTAGCTATATACCTGGATATAGATTATATGCAAATACTATACCATGTATCTATATCTGTACACACACACACAAAGAAGTATGTTAAACAGTTATGCAGCTACTTACCAACATTAAAACTGATAAAAAAGAATCTTCTGTTGGCTAATAGACTACAAAGTTAGTCATTAATATGCAATGGTTGATTCTGAATTCTCTGTGTTGTTCCTTTAGAAAATAACAAAAAACAAGCTGGACACGGTGGTAACATGCCTATAATTCCAGCACTACGGAGGCTAAGGCAGAAGGATTGCTATGAGTTTGAGGCCAGCCTAAGCTACACAACAAGATCCTGTCTCAAAACAAACAAACAAACAAGGATAGCTCAGAAAGGGTTGTTAAATTTAAAAACTTATACTTAAATTAGGAATTTCATACAGCTACTCCATAATCTGAAGCAAAGATGATGGAAAGCATGTATTGTTCAGGTCTATCACAGCATTCAAAGTGGTATCTCTGTTCAACAATCTGGCTATTTCTGAAAGCACAAGTAACCTCTTTCACACAAGTGACAGAATGCCTTTCAAAAAAGATGGCTACTTCCTTTTTTAAAAAATTAAGCAAAACAACATAACAAAGTAATATGTTAACATTCTACACTTTTAATTCTGGGAATTAAAATATACTCTTTCAATCTTGTCATGCTAAAACAAAGATAATAGAGTTCCAAGTTTTTTCTTTGTCTAGGTTGGTGGTTCTGAATTCAAAGCACCCATATCAGCAACTTCAGTATCCCTAAGCATTTGTTAGAAATATAAATTCTCAGGTGAGTATGGTGCTGCACACCTATAATTTCACCACTTGAGAGCCTGAGGCAGGCAGGAGGATCATAACTGCAAGGGTAGCCCAGAGTACACAGTGAGACCCTCTCTCAAGAAAAGTAAAGTCGCAGACCCCATCCTAAACCTACTACATAAAAAAATCTCAAGATAAGGGTTACCTACCTGGAATACTGACGAATACAAAGCCTGAGAACCACTCCATCAGGTTTTCTTTCATAAACACTAATCCAAATAGTAAAGAGAAGAGGGCTGACTATTATAAGGGAGGGAAATTTGCCTAAGTTTTGTATTCTGTAGTATATCTATAGATTTACTTTAAAATGTGCCATGAATATACAATTGGCCTCTGTGGATTCCAATTTCATACATTTAACTAACCACAGGTCAAAAATATTTGGGGAGAAAAACTTAACACATATCAATGTTTTTTCACGTCATAATTCCCTAGCAACAGAATACAACAATTATTTTCATAGTATTTACATTTACTAGCTATTATAAGTAATCTAGAGGTGATTTAAAGTCCATAAGAGAATGCGTATAGGTTATATGCAAACACTATACCATTTTATATAAGCGATTTAAGCATCTACAAATTTTAGTATTAATATGGGTCTTAGAACCAAGCCATATAGCTATTCAGGGACAACTGTAATGATTTTTAATGTCTTCTATATTAGAAAACTGTACAAAAAGAATCAATAATTGCCTCTTTTTCTTGGGATATGAATAATGTAGTTAATGTAGGAAATATACCTTCCTAAACATGTCATTAGTGTAAAAAACAGAATTTAGAAAAGTCACTTCCTGTTTTTCACACAAGTAGTAAATCATTTCACATCTAGATTAGATAATAAAACCAAGGTGGGAGGAAAATGGTTTGTGGCTGCATACAGAACTTCCATACACAACTGTGACAAAGTCAAAATATTATAAAAATATACTAAACACGGATATGATCGTAGGGGCTTATACGGAAACTGCCAATTCTCACAATAAATTCCTTCTCAAACATCGTCCATTTTAGACATCAGAACAGCTACTTCTCTATCAGTATAGAAGATCAGAAGTAGGATAGGGACATACAGATTTACTTCTAGCTAGTCCAGACAACAGATTTACATGGGATGTTGTCTATCTGCTTGTTTGTTTAGAAAAGCAAAAACAATTTTAAATGAAAATATTTGTGGTAATTTAAAGCAAAATATAATAATATAATATAAATGAAGGGGCTATGCTTAAAAGACATAAAATCAAAATCAATATTGTAAAAATATGTTTTATTAGCTTAAACTGTATGTGTTATGTAACACGTATTTTTTTTTCTTTTCTTTTAGCAATCATCAATCCTTAAAAAGCAGCAGTATCTAAAGGGAAGTATCTAAAGGAAGCAGTATCTAAACTGGACTGGGAATCAACAGTTGCAACACTATTTTTGCACTACCTACTAAATGTCCTTGGAACACTTCTATCCATCCCTAGCACTCTTTATAGAGTAATATTTTAGGGCCCTGTAAGCAACATTCACCTGCTCCAACAGAAATTTTTAAGAGTTTTAAAACTTTAAAAAATTACTTAAATTAGCAGTAATTATTTAAGCATGCATTTTAAACAAAAGAGCTAAGTTCCATAAACTCTTCTGCATAGCACTAGTGTATGCTAACATGCTTGTGACTATATATACTATTTATAATATACATCCACATATATGTGTGTATATGTGTGTCTGTGTTTTGAGACAAGTCTTGCTGAATAGTTTCTATGTAGCCAAGACTGGCCTTGAACTCACGGCAATCCTCCCACCTCAGCCTTCTGAATACTAGGACCATACGTGTGCATCACCATGGTTGGCCATAACGGCAGGAAATCTGGCTCAGTGGTAGAGTACTTGCCTCACATGCTCAAGGCCATGAGTTCAATCCCCAGTATCACATCATGTCTGGCCAAAAAGATCTATCTTATATTATGTGTTTTGGGAAGACACACTGGAGAATACTTTATTTCTCAGACTCTAAGATACACATTATATTTCTATCACAACTATTATAATATATCTGAAATAGGAATATGTCTTAATCAGTGGACTCTTGTAAACCGCTGCTGATTGTGCAAGATTAATAACTATTACGGGTTATATAAGTGTGAACATTAGAACACAAACATCAAATTTGGAAAATGAACATTAGCAGCTTAGAATAAAATTTTAGAAATAGCTGTGGAGCAACCTAACCTCTATGAACCAAGATTATTGGAGTTAAAAATAACATTACAGCATCAACAACTGAAAAGCTGATCTAGGATCCTAACATCACTGGATTTTAATTCTTTCATTGATTTTTTTAAGAAATACAGCATCATAATGCTCTCTGTGCTACAGAAAAGTACTACTTGGGAAAAGATGGGTCTCAAGAATGCTATTAAATCATTTGAAAGAATATTAAAAAGGCACAGGAATACTTACCCAAAATAATTAGTTTCTACTGTATTTTCCTTATTATGTACTCATGCACAAGTTGGATAATAAAAATAAAACTGTTCTCAAGGTAAATCTAAATAGCCTATTCCAAGAAAAGGTGGAAAAACTCAGGTATAGAAAAATTTGATATAGAAAGTTCAGTATATATTAAATAGTATACTATTAAATGATAGTGCTTTATAATTCATGAAATACAATTAAAATCTACTAGCGATTTGTAGAAAAATAAAAGTTTTGCTTAATTCCATTAAAAGCCACTCCCTTTATTACCTGTAAACCACAGCAGCCCACAGCGTTCATGATGGAGGCATTGTGAATAACTCGATACGGAATTCCCCGCTTTGCTGCTCTCAGAATAAGGTCGCTGTGTGTTGTAGCCCTGCAGTGGGAAATCAGGTGGATTTTAGAATGGCACCAATTCGTAAAACACTAAAATTATCCTATTTCATGAGTCAAGTCAGTGAACTACTTTTCCTTACATTATGCTAGCAGTCTGCACAAATCTTTTAACTCAGCTTTCATGCTTCTTTGTTTATTCATCCATTCTGTGTTAGGGATCAAGCCCAGGGCCTCGTCCACATCAGGCAGGCACTCTACCGCTGAGCCATACTCCCAGCCGTTTGCTGGGGTTGTCAGCAACCAAGAACGAACCTACACACGTCCCTCACAAGGCGGAACTGCAGCTCCGACACAGGCAGCGGCGTACTGCGAAGGGAAGTTCACGCGTTTGCTGTCCCGTTAATACCTGCAGAACACATCTGTGCAGTACAAACTCTGCGCTCAGCAATTTAACACTTGATAAGCGATTCTTAAACTCTTTTGTCTCAGGGTCCCTGAAATTCACTTGCTTAATTTTTAATTGTACATATTTACATTATACTATGTGGTATTTGAATATGGGTATACAATGTACAGTGATCAAAGAGAATGGCACATCTCTCACCTCCAAAATTTATCATTTCTTATGTTGGAAAGATGTAAAAAATTCCTTTACTAGGTATGTTAAAACATTCAATTTTGTCAACCGTATTTACTCTACCGGCGGTAGGACATTACAGTGCTTCCTCCTACCCAACCGCACGCCTGTGCCTGCTGGCCATCCTCCCCCTCCCCTCCCCCCTCCCGGGCTCTGCTCACCACTGTTCTGTGCTGCACGTCTCTCAGATCACTTTTAGCTTCTGTCTAAGTACCACCCTTTAAATTCCTGTAGTTACTGCTTTAGAGTTTTAGATTATGACACAAATAGACCCAATTTTAAATGTCTGCCCTATTCTGAAGGCTTTGTTTTTGCACTTTGAAATATAAGGAAAAATTCACAGAACATTTTCATAGCCTGAGTCTTTCAGTCCTTATGCTAGAATTTAGTCTGATAGAATTCCATTCTGAGTTTGTCTCTGTCTAGTAGTCATTTTATTTATAACCGTTTTCAGTCTGGTTACTGTATATAATTAGTATGTGTATGTGTATATAAATATTCTATTACCTTTCCTTTCTTGAGATAAATTTCACAACTATAATTAAGTAGGTTGGCGTGCAAAGAGAATATATATAAATATGAATACCGTGAGATGCAACCCCATACTGTTTAAAAGTACATCACTAAGTTTTTTTTTCCTCTCTTGATAAAATTTCTGCAATTCAACACTGCTATGACATACCTGAACTTACAGGACACAGTGAAAGCAGTCCTATCAGGGAAATTTATAAAAGTGAATTCCCACATAAGAAAAACAGAGGAGATTCAAATACACGTCCTAATGCTGAACCTCAAAGTTCTAGAAAAAAAAGAGCAACTCAAACTCAAAGCTCACACAAGGAAGAAACTTACGAAAATCAGAGCAGAAATTAATGCAATTGAGACTAAGAAAACAATACAAAGAAATGAACTGAAGAATTGGGGTTTCTTTGAAAGAAAGACAAATCTTTAGCTAACCTTATCAAAAGAAGCAAAGAAAACCCAAATCCATGCAATCAGGAACGAAAAGGGCAAAATCACAACAGATCCTACAGAAATCCAGAAGATCATTAGTACCTACTTTGAGAACTTGTACTCCAGTAAGAATGGAAATTTAGAAGAAATGGACAGATTCCTATACATATATGAACTGTGAAAACTGAATCAAGAAGATGTAAAAACTCTAAATAAACCAATCTCAATGAAATTGAAGTACTGTAATTTAAAAAAGAAAAAATAAATTTAAAAAAACTAACAATAAAGAAAAGCCGAGGTCCAGACAGATACACTGTTGAATTCTACAAGAACTTTAGGGAACATCTAACACCACTGCTCCTTACCCTCTTTAATATAATTGAAAAGGAAGCAATGTTCCCAAAGTCATTCCTAGAAGCAAGCATTAACACTACCCTGATATCAAAATCAGAGAAGGATCCAACCCCCAAAAAAGACATATAGACAAATCTCCTTAATAAACACAGATACAAAAATCCTCAATAAGATATTGACAAACAGAATGCAGTAAATCATTAAAAATACCAAGTAAGATTCATCCCAAAGATGCAGGGCTGATTCAACATACGCAAATCAATAAATGTAACACACAACATTAAAAGAGTGGAGGGCAAAAACCACCTGCCCATCTCAACAGACGCAGGAAAAGCATGTGACAAAATTCCATACCCGACGCCGGGGATGCAGCTCAGCGGCACAACTCCTGCCTGGCAAGTGCGAGGTCGCAAGCTTGATTCCTGCTTCCAAAAACAAAAAAAAGTCCACATCCATTCATGATAAAAACGCTACAGAAAGTTGTAATAAAGAGTTTTATCTCTATCTGATAAAGACCGTCCATGACAAATCAACAGCCAACGTCATAACTAAATGATCAAAAACGGAAAGCTTTTTCACTCTAAAACCAGGAACAAAACAAGAATACCCACTATCACCATTCCTGCTCAACAGAATTCTGGAAACGGTCAGAGCCATCAGAGGAGAGAAGGAAATACAAGGAATAAGGATAGAAATGGAAGAAGTTAAATTACTGTTATTTGCAGATGACATGACACTCTACCTAGAAGACCCCAAAAACTCATGAAAAGACTCTCAGAATTATCAAATTCAGTGGTGCAGCTGGATGCAAAGTCAGCACTCAAAAATCAATTGCAGTCCCGTACAGGAAAAAATAATTTACTATTCGGAAATTAGGGAAATAACACTTTTACACTAACATCAAGAAAAGTGAAATACTTAAGGATCAACATAATGAAGAAAGTAAAAGACCTTTACAGTACACTGAAAAGGGAGAATGAAGAGGATACCAGAAAATGGAAAGATATCCCTTGTTCTTGGATAGGCACAACTAGTATAGTGAAATAGCCAGACTTCTAAAACTGCTAAACAGGTTTAATGAAATCCCAATTGAAATACCAAAAACATACCTCACAGAATTAGAGAAAACAATCCTAAAACTCATTCAGAACCAGATGAAACCCAGAATAACAAAAGAAATTCTGGGCAACAAGGGCAAGGTAGGGAACATCACAGTCCCTGATTTGAAGTTTTAGCAAAGCTTGCATGATAAAAACAGCATGGTACTGGGAAAAGAACAGACCTGACGATCAATGGAACAGATTAGAAGATGCAGAAACAAATCTAAGCCACTCCACTCTCATCTTTGATAAAGGGGCCAAACACCTTCACTGGAAGAAAGAGAGCCTCGTTAATAAATGGTGCTGGGAAAACTGGCTTTCCACATGCCAAAGATTGAACCTGAACCTGTATCTCTCACCATGCACTAAATGAAAATTGAAATGGTTAAAGATCTAAATATAAAAACAGAACAATCTGCTGGAAGACAGAATAAGTAGAACTCTTGAAGACATTGGTACAGGCAATGACTTTATAAATAAAACCCCAATCGCGTAGGAAATACCACAAAGAATCAAAAACTGGGACCTCATCTTATTAAAAAGCTTTTGCACAGCACAAGAAACCACCAACAGAGTGAAGACACAACCTAGTGTGGGAAAAAATTTTTGCCAGCTGTTGCTCAAAGGATTAATACCTAGTATATAAGGAATTCAAAAAAGTCAGACTCCCCTCAAATTTAATGACCCAAACCAAAAATGGGCATCTGAAATGAAGAAGTAGAAATGGCAAATAAATATATGAAAAAATGTTCAACATCACTTGTCATTTGAGAGATGCAAATCAAAATAATGCTGAGATCCCATCTCTCTGGAAAGAATGGCTATTATCAATTAATTAACCAACAACAGATGTCTGAGGGGCGGTGGGGTAAAAGGAACCCTTCTCCACTGTGGGTGGGAGTGTAGACTTGTGCAACCACTATAGAAATCAGTGGGGAGATTGCTCAAAAAATTAGAACTAGAGGTTCCATCTGACCTAGCTATTCCCCTTCTTCATATCTTCCTAAAAGATTAAAAGGATTATACCACAACAATTTATGCATACCAATGTTTACAGGGGCACAGTTTGTAATAGCTAAATCTTTAAAACAGCCCAAATATCCATCAACTGATGAATGGATAAAGATGTGATTTCTTTTATACAATGGAGTACTACTCAGCCATAAAGAAGGATAAGCTTGAGACATTTCTAGCTAAATGGATGCACCTTCAGACCATACTCTTAAGTGAAACAAATCAGACACACGTTTGTTTGTTTGTTTATCTATTTATTTATTTTAGTGGTCATGTTTTATTCATCTCATTTTTTAAAATTTAAGTTTATTGGTACAATTTAGGTATACATAATGACCACATTCATTTTAGGGAATTTGTATCTGTACGTATCTTGATTCCTCTTTTTTCTTTCCCATTCCCATCCTCTTTTCAAATCCCCTTCCCCTCCCTGTTTACAAAGCTCAATTTTCATTTTAACCCTCTTTCTCACTTTTTTCTTTTCCTTCCTTCCTGTCCCCCTTCCCCTCCCTATTTCCCTTTTCCTTTTGAATGGTTTCATTCAACTTTGCAGTCCCTATTTCATAGTTTCTTCCTATCTCACACTTCCTATTTAAATTGTTTCTTCTTACACAGTATCTATTGTACATTTGTTATTTACATTTCAGTTTCTCACACCAGAGAGATAATGCAGTATGTACACATGTGCGAAAACGTTTAAATACCATATATTTTCTCTGGTGTGAGAAACCGAAAATGTAAATAAGGACCAAAATGTGTAATAGATATTGGGAAATGGGAAGAAAATGTTCAACTGAGAAGGGGACAAAGGGGGGGGGGGGGGGAAAGGGAAGGCCAGAAGAGGAAGAAAAAACAGAATGGAAGGAAGAAACGGAAACACAGCTTTTGTAAATGGGAACGGGAGGAAGGGCTGAAGGGAGGGGCGTGGAATGGGAAAGTGACTAAGACATTATGTACAGGTGCAAAGTACCTACAGTGAATGTGATCACCATTATAACATATGTAAGAATTTAAAGAACATAAATTTTTAAAAAGGCAGGAAAAAACCCCCTGATGTAGCTGCCATACTGGTCTATAATTTTTTACTTAAGTAAATTACCCTTTAAAAGTCTTTTTTGAGGGGCTGGGGATTTAGCTTAGCAGCACAGCACCTGCCTGGCAACAGCAATGTCACGAGTCGGATTCCCGGTACTGGGGAAAAAAAAATCTTTTTTGAAACATTGTACGATTTGGTTCTAGCAGAGCAGTCACAAACAGTACTGGAGAAGGCAGAGAGACTCACAGATGCAAGGCCACAGCCCCCAAAGGCTTTCAGCAGGGAAGGAACGGTGCTCGCACGACACCTCGGGTGTTCAGTTTACGCTGGAACTCTCCCTTCTTCCTTCTGTCCAGGCCTCCATTTCCAGCCGCTGAACCCTCTCCAGATCTAGCTCAAATACTACCTTCGCCACAAAGCTGCCTCCTGATAAATCTAAACATCACGCCTTTGAGTTCACTCGCATCCTTCTCTCGTCTTACATTTACACCTCAGCAGTGTATAGATGCTGGCCACGCCTTAATAAAATAGTCTCTTCTTAGCTCTTGTGACAACATGCTCTTGTTCTCCCTTCTCCTCCAACGGTGGCCAGACTATGAAACGCCCAAATGTCCAAGGGCTGGATCCTCAGTCCTCTTCTTTTTCCCTCCTCTAAGGTGATTCTAGCCAGTTTCTTTCTGGTATTTAAACACTATTTACGTACTAATGACTTCAAAAGCCCCATCTCCAGGATGCGCCCTCCTGTGAGCTCCAGCAGATTATCTCATTGCCTAGCCGGCACCTCAAATTTAAATGTTTCCAGAACCAGTTATTTCCCTCAATCTTGCAATCTTGTTTTCTACTGCTTTTCATCATTTCAAAAAGTGGCAAATCAACCACTCAACTGCAAAGCTAGAATCCTGGAAGTCAGGTCTGCATCTTTCCTTTCCTTCATCTACGAGCTCCAAGTGTACCTCGGAAGGTACACTTCCTTCCAAGTATGTCCCAGACTCTCCCATCACACACACTGCTTTTCCCTACAATCTAATCATCCAGGCACTTGGAGTGCCCTTTTATAATGTCAGAGTGTGACTTTTCTTGTTAACTCTGCAGAGGTTCACCATTCTATTTCAAATAAAAACTTCTCTGAGTATTTACACGGCCCGGCTCCTGCCTTTCTCTGTCATCTTTCACACGCCCTTTCCCTCCCGCGCTACGCCGCAGCTGCTCTGAACTCCTGCGGGCACAGGCCTGCTGTTCCTGCTGCCTACAATGTTCTTGCCTCTTCCCATTCCATTCCATTCTTCACACTGATTGGCTGATTAACCTGCAATACTGGGCACTAAATGCAGGGCCTACACACTGAGCTACATCCCTAATCCTTCTGTATTTTTTACCTTGACACAGAATGCTGCCGAGTCACTAAGTTACCCAGGGTGGGCTCAAACGTGATTCTACTGCCACAGTCTCCCGGAACACTGGGATTACAGATATAGACGCTCCTCCTTTAGTTCCAGTTCTGAGGCGAGGTCTTCTAATGAAGTGGTTGCTAAATGAGGACTACAGTATGCATATAGTATGCACATTACAATATTCATAAGAAGAAATGGTCAAAGGAATCTCCTACGTAACGACTTTGCTTGTATTTGTGCAACTCTGACATGCAGTACTACAATGTATAACAAACAGAAAATAAAACTACAGTACTGCCGGGTGTGGGGGCGCACGCCTGTGATCCCAGTACTCGGGAGGCTGAGGCAGGAGGATCATTGCAAGTTCAAGACCAGCCTGGGCTACAAAGTGAGCTCAAGGCTGGCCTGAACTGCATAGCGAGACTCCATCTCAAAAAGACAAACAAACAAACAAAAAAAAACTATGGTACTATACTGTACGGTACAATCAGCAAAAACCACAGTACTGTTTAACAAGGTGTACTGTACCAAAAAAAAGACATTGAGGCTCTATAAATAAAAGATACAGAACTGTAAAAAAAAAAGGGTTGTAAGTTCAAGTGGCAGGTCATAAGTCCAAACAGTGTGCCGCCAGCAAATCCAAACAGTCATTAGTAAATAAACAACGAATATCTGTATACATCATCCACCTTGTTTAAATATCACCTCTGTACAAAGGCTCTTGCCTATGACTCCGCCTAAGTAAGTCTTGTATTATTTCCTTTTATTTTTACCCTTTACAAGCCTACCTATATTTATTTATTTATTTATTTATTTTTTATTTTAAAGAGTAAAAGAAGGATAACATAGTAATAGGAGGGCTTACCGAATTACAGACAAAGTGGTAGGAAATTATCAATGGTTGTTGTTTCACACACTGTTATCTTCAAGATAGTTTCTCAGGAAAACAAACAGAAGCCTACCTATATTAAATTTATTTTTTTTCTTTGATTACTATTGGCTTCCCCTACAAAAACATGTGAATTTATATCTATCTATTGAGTATGCAAGAGCTCCTGTCATAAGATATGTACACGAAAGGTATTTGTTGCATGGATAAATGTCAGTTCAAGATATGTCTGGTCTTTCTTTCTTTGTTGACCTTAGGCAAACATCTCACATTCTTCAATTAATATTAACTACTACCAACTACATGTCAGGGAGTACAAAAGAAGCTAGGAACACAAAAATTTGAAAGTTAACCTATAAATCTAAAAGCAGTGTAGATGCACACAGCTATTTAAAAAATGTAGTCAGGTACATGAAAAACAGGATGAGTGATGTATGTCACCAACTACATGGAGACAGAACTTCAGGTTAAGGTAATAAAGAGCTACAGCATGTGCAGCTAGGTTCTGAAAGATGAACAGGCCTCTGGCAATCAGATAAGTCACAGGACTTTCAGGAGAAGGAAAGTTTTTGAATAAAGACATGAAGGTGAGAAAGTGCAACGATTAGGAAAGAGCAACCTGGCCGCAGGACTGTGGGTTTCGGTGCAAGAGTGGTAGGCAAGAGGCAGAAGGGCAGGCTGGGCAGTGCTTTTAATACCCAGCTAAGGGTGCAACTAATCACACTATTATATGGGCCCAGACAGGGTCTCTGAACTGTTACTTTATAAATATGAATTTAACCACAGTATAGGCAATGAGTTTAGTGTTTGTACATGGAGCAAGCAAAAGATGCAGGGTATATTAAGCTGTACTGGGTAGAATGGGGCGGCCAGAGTAAAAAGGAATGCAAGGATATGAGAAATGTGCAAAACAACAGTCAACAGCAGTATTTCTCCATTCCTTTTGTCTTAAATTGTCATGGGAAAAAAAAAATGTCGTGGAGCAAGAGTTGTGTAAAGTGCAATACAACTGAAGTATTAGAAAACTAAGATACGAAGTGAAATCATACAAAATACAAGCCCCATATTTTTATTATTAGATCTAATACGCGTAAACTTCACTTTTTAAATGGCTACAAATGTTCTGAAATGCATGGTCTCAATTTCTATACTTACCTCACCAAGAACTAGTAACTAGTACAGTCTGCAAACTTCCCTTTGAATATAATCTTTAATATCATGTTTTGTTTTGTTTTTGTTTTTTTCCAGTACCGGGAATCGAACTCATGACCTTGTGCTTGCCAGGCAGGCGCTGTGCCGCTGAGCTAAATCCCCAGCCCCCTCATCTTTAATATCATGAATAGTATCAATAAATGGATGCTCTAAAGGTCAAAAGCAATGCTGAGATTGCCTATTTAAGTAACCATAAGAACTGTAGTCCATCAAATTAGGAAGTCTGATAGGGGAAGGTTTTCGTATAAAAAACTTGGGTTTTATGCAGAAAAAGTCATGTGGTGAGAAAATTTTACAAGAGTTAGAACACATTCTCTACAGAATGTTTTACTTTCTTTTTTTTTATTATCCTATAGCAAAAAAAAGTAACTACTAATGTTCATGAGGCCTAAGGTTTATACGAGGTTAAAACAAACTATTTAAATATTTTAAAATGTGTGATTATCCAAGGCTACTCGCAGTAAGGTATAATTATGATTTGGAATCTTTGGCCCTTTATATTAATATAAATTGCTTTCTTTTAGACAGACACATGCACATGAAACTCCACTGTTTTGAGAAATGTCCTTGGTGGTGGCCCCACAGTGATTTAATTGTCCTTATGTTCCTTAAATCTGTGACATAAATCTTGGGTCACCAGCTGCAGACAAAGAACTCTTCTCTTTCACTTTATTAGAGAATGATGAGGCCTGACTAGGCAAGTAGAAACCCATCTTCTCTGTAATGAGGAAGAACAGAGTTCCGGATGGATATAAGAAATGGAAATCAGTGGCATGATAAATGGTAGATGCTAGGCAAGAAAAGTGACAGCAGTACTGGCAAAATTAGAAAGTTGAAAAAGAAAAAAAATAAGCCCAGATCACAGAAAGTTAAAGATGCCTGCAATTATCTGCAGCAAATGACAGGCATGATGATCATAATGGAATGACTTACATACTAATCATACACTAATTAAGGCACTTGATCCCTACGCGATCTTAAAAAAAAAAACAAGTCAAAGATACAAACTTTAGAGCTGACACTTGACACTGTAGTGATACGTATGGTAGTATTTTTATCAAGATTTTCTTCACTTCAAAAATAATGAAAGTTTAAACTACAAAATTTTAGAGCTTAGGTAAACAGAGTCCCTTATTAGAATGTGGCAGATAAATTTTAAAGATAACAGTTATTGTGATTAAAAGATAAATAAATAACTCAAAACATCTGCTTTAACTTACCCAAATGGATCACCAACCACAAGGAATGCAACTTCATTGATATCAGCATCCTTTAAAATATTATCTGCCTCTTGCTCCACTTCTTCTCTATCAGCGAGAATCAATTTTCTGCCATAAAACTCTTCCTACAGATTTAAGACCAGCATCAAAATGAGAGACAGCAGGTGACCACGAAATAATCTTTGTCTGGAGCGGGTGCAACTCTTGGCAACCATCCAAACACAGATCATTCAATACAACTCGTCAATGAGCTAGCACTCTCTATCATGTTGCAATTAAACTCTGTCTTTGGGGCTATCTTCATGTCCCAGGAGGAAGCAGACCTCTTAACATCTGAGGCTTTTTACATTTTAAATTTACCTCTAAATTTGGCTCATAACAGACCAGACAGAGCATTACAGAATGAATACACAATACGTATGCATGAGCCCTACTTCAGAAACATGGTAATAGAGAATAAATATGTGTATTAAACAATAATGAGAAACATGCATGGCAGTTAGGGAAAATTTATGGTACTCTGGCTAAAGTAAAAGGAAACATCAATGAGAAACAATAGAAAATTATGACTTAGCCATTACACAACCAGCCTACATTCCTACATAATTGCAGGAAAGACAAATTTAAGATTATATTCCCTTATTTCTGCTAAAGACAGTTGCAGGGGAAAGAACTGAATTATAAATATGCAGGAAGTTTCCATACAAACTACTTTGTAAATTAATCCCCTGAAGTTCGACTCTAGAAAACAAACTCTGAGGGGTGTTAGCTAGTAAGCTGGTGGTCATATGGTACTGGTTAGAGGGTAGTAATCAAGATCATGAAAGGGAGTAATATGCCATTCAAATGAAGTGAAAGTAGATGCACAGATGAATAGTATTGTCTTATATACTGAGAAACTGGAATTATGGAAAGACATAGGGACTGCTGCACAAGAGTATCTGGTCGTCATTAATATATGTCAAATGAGTAAATGAACAAATGATTTAGCATCTGTAAACACCAGCTCTGACTCTGATAATTATTTCCTAATACGTAAACAAAATCTCAAGTGTGAAAAAAATCCTTTCCTATAGAAAAGTTCCCAAACACAATGTTTTAATAGACGAAAAAGCTCTTAATTTGTACTTTTACCATATTTTTTCATAAAAATTAATTTTTACATAGTTTACTTTGACTTTATGAACGGGGTTAATGGTTACAAAATATATTACATAACTAACAGAACACATACATGACTACCAGAAACTGAAGAAAACAATGGCTTTCAGTGAACTTCTACCATTTCTTTTGTTTGTTTTTCTGACATAGGGTCTCACTATATCATTCAGGCTGTCCTTAAACTCACTATGTAGCCCAGGCTGGCCTCAAACTTGTGGCGACCCTCCTGCCTCAGCCTCCTGAGTGCTGGGATTCCAGGTGTCCACCAAGCCCAACAACTTCTAACATTTCTTAAAGACCAAGAAGCCACATGCCACTATTTTAAAGCTAGCAGTAATCCTAACTTGTATTTTATAAATGATCTGACGAAAAAAACTTTCAAGATTTGTATTATATCACTCCATATTTAACTTATCACTTATCCTAACCTAATAAACAGTTCATAGTCTAAGTAAAATAACACACACTGACACGATATTCTATCATAATCAAATGGCTGATTCTCTTGAAAAAATGTTTTTAAAACTGGAAGAGATAGAAAATGCAGGAAGACTGGTATTATATTGTTTTGATCTACTTGTTTATTCATCCACTCACTCACTCACTCACTACAGAAGTATTTCTTACACACGTCTTCCATGCCAGACTCTCTGATGCTGGGAGACACGACATATTTTGGTATTAAGACATATTTTGCTTCTGTCCTTGAGGGAGAGCGAATCAACTACTACACCGTATCATACATGCCATAGAACACTCCTGCCAATTAACGGGCCAGGGAAGAAAAAGCAGTATTATTTAATATATGGTTTTAAAGTGTGATTGTATATTATCCAGGGATTGAGCCAGTTTTTATATAACCTCAGCCCTAATCTTCTCCAGTCATGAAAAGGTCAAGTTTCATTCTTGCTTTAAACTGGCAGTTGGATGAAGTATGTTAAATTTATTTTCAGGTATCTGTGGAAAGGTAGACAAGACATTAGTAGTGACGGCCTCCAGGACGGGGCCCTGAGATAGAAATCTTTGTTGTATGTATCTCTGTACTTTTATATTTCACTCCACTGAGTGGATTACTTAGTCAATAAAAGTAAAAGTAGAGGTTCAAAGTAGTATAAAGAAGCAGATGAGAGAACAAAAAAAATCTTAAAAATAGGACAACAGAGAAGTTCACCAAAGGAGTCTGAGAAAAAATGGAAACAGAAATAAACTAAGAGAAAAATCATGTTACAAAAGCCTGTTTCAAGGAGTGGTCAACTACATCAAAATAGGTAAAACAGAATTTAAAACTACCTAGAGTTCCTGGCTAGGAAAGCACTGTTAAAAAAATAAGAGAAATATTTCTGGAAATGGGGATCAGCCTTCAGGAGTAGGGCCACGAGTGGAAATGGAGACAGGAAAAGCATACTTTTTCAAGAAGTTTTGGATAAAAAGGGAGACAGCACAATCACTACGGGGAAAAGAGGCTTAAAGAAGAGACTTCAAAGAGTCAGTGCGTGAATACGGTTTGAGGATGAGCGAAGACAGGCTGAGTTACGTGAAGGCAGGGTGCACATGAAGAAGAACAGTTTTAAAAACACACCTAGAAGGAATTACATCTTGAACAGGAAAAGAGCCTCATCTCACAGGTCATTTTCTAAGACTGGAGAGAAGATAAATTCACATTTACTGTCAGGGCAGATGAGAAATTAATATGTTATAACTAACTGCTTCCTTTTTCTTAGTGTGAAGTCCTTTACCGACCTTTCCTCTCTCAGGGTCAAACCATATCAGACGAAGAGGTGAACCCTCTTGTTAGTGGGTTAAGTTAGGAAGAGAAGTGAGGGAAGAGATACACGAAGAGAAGAAGTTATTTCATTGAAACCCAATGTCAAATTTGGTAAATGTTTGTGCTTTCCTCCTCCCTGGGCTGTTCACAATTATTTTTCCTCCCAGGCAGAATGCCCTTCCTGTTCCCCTTGTCAAATGTGGGCCAGAATAGCAGTATTGCACTAATACATTTACGTGGGGATTGTTCTATGATCAGGCACTGTTCTAAGAACTTTATGCATATGTTCATTTAATCTTCATCTCAGTCTGAGGCACTAAACACCGATCTCTCTCACATATATTCCAACAGTAATTAATAACTAATAATTATTACACATTTGGGACAGCTTCTGCTGCTTAGCTGACGACAGCAGGATTGTCGGTTTGAATAAACTTATCTCAGTTCTTTGTAGACATGTACCTTCATAATCTCTCCTTTCCACTGCCGTTCTGTATTGTTACTTAAATCTTCCATTACTATTTAAGCTTTCCTGGATATAATGCAGATGAATCACGAACCACTTGTGAACAAAGACCATAGTTTATGCTTCTTTGTGTAATGCACACAGATGCATTACACTAAATATATAAAATCATAATTCATCTACAGAAAGTAGATAAAAATATTCAAGTTGAGCATACTAAAACTAAAACTTTCCTAGATTCGCTGTCTTCAGATTAATGGATTTTTGAATAGAGGACATATAAACAGTATTACCTGCTTGGTAATTCGAAAACAGCGTTCAATGTAAGGGCAGATAAATTTCAGATTTCTGTAGCAATACCTATGTCTGCCTACTATATTGTTTACTGATAAAAGAAGGCACATGTTCACTGTAGAAAATAGAATTTTCCAGCATTTTCTCACTGTGCAATAGCTATCTGTAGTCAAGACCAGACTATATATACGGTAATGTACGCACATACCGATTTTTAAAACTCAGTTTGTTTCAGAGAAATCTGGAAACAAAAAATGTGGTTGAAGACAAAGTGGCTTTGCGATTTTACCAGGCAATACAAGGCATAAACATATTTATACCTTACTTTAGCCCAGAACTAACTCACTCAAGATAGACGATGTATATACCAAGTTGCTCAGGGTCAAACATCACCTGAGGACCTCGAGGAAAACATGGAGAGCATACAAAAAACTTGTGTGATCGGGTGAGGTCCAGGTCAGACCGTTTTGCTTGAGTCCTATCTCCTCTGTAGATGTTTTCTAAAGTTATACAAGTTATATATTGTGTAGCTAATATCTTTCCCTAAGAATGCTGAGGCACAGTGCACTATAAAAGCTAAGAGTGTCAGATCTCAACTGGGAACTGCTTTGGTTCATACACTCTACCTTTCACTACTCACCTGATCTTGGGCAAGATTCTTAACTCCTCTTTGTCTGTCAAATGTACATGGTAACTACAGAGCAAGAATCCTATTCTACACATAAAACATTTAAAGCAGTGCAAATCAATGTTCTACAATTGTCATTACTGTGGAAGAATTAATTTTTACATCTTAACAAAGTACACATAATTACCTATAAGTGAGATTGGCCCCAGCCCTGTATCTTGACTCTGTAACAATTCCACACTAAAAAAAATTCAGAACTGATAGCAACAAAATATTTAGATAAGATAAATTTTACAAAACACTTTTACATAACATCTTAATAAAAACCTAACTGACTATCTCCATTAGACAAATGAAGAAACCTATGTTCAGAAATTTAGAAGTGTCCACTGACAGCTACCTTTTCTAAACACTTTTCTGCCAGCCGTAATGAGAAGAACCTGTAAGGTAGAGATTTTTGAACCTATTTTACACAGTAAGAAACTAAAGTTAAAGGACTTGTCTATGAATATAAAACAGAACAAAGACACACTAGGTCCAAACTTTCCTCTAGGTCATGCTCTGAGACCTTATTTATAAAATTCCTAATTTAGCCAGGCGTGGTGGTTCACACCTGTAATCCCAGCACTCAGGGGACTGAGGCAGGAGGATTGCTGTGAGTTCGAAGCCAGCCTGGGCTACATAATGAGTTCACGACCAGCCTCAATTACAAAGTGAGACCCTGTCTCAAAAAACAAACAAACAATAAAATTCCTAATTTATGTGTCTCTATTCTCTTAAAAAGTTTTAAACTTATTCTAGTTTTCTTTGATCACCTATTAGACCTGTTTTTATTATCTTGAGGTTACATACTTTGGTTCCATCTAAGTATAAAAAGGGGGCAAACCAATCAAAGTTGATCATTAGACACAAATTTTGTTCCAATGCATGGCTATTTCAAGAAGTAGTCCTTAATTTCTTCAAGATTGTAAAGTAACTCTGCGACCTTCAGGATTCTCTGGGCTGTGAATCTGGGAGGACCGAGCCCTGAAATTCTGTAGGTCACGCTTTTGTTTGGAAGACAGAAGTGACACACAATTCTAAAGATCTACTCCCTCCTCCCACAACACGTCCATCAATCTTTTGATTTTAACCTATATTCTTGGACCTTAACAATGAACCTGAAACTAACCCTTCCTTTAAAGCCCTTAATGAGAACCCGCTAAATGAGTAACCTCGCAAAAAAAAAAAAGTAACCCTCGCAAATCCTCTGGTTACTTAGTCCCAGGCTCACTTTTGTGAGCCTTGCTGGGAGATGTCTACTTAAAGGTAAGCTCTCTCTGGATACGTTACAGACAGAAAGGCAATCAGCAGTCCCTCTGGAAATACTTCAAAGGGGAAAGCTTTCAGCTTGGTTTCTGAATATATAACCAACTCATTAAGACTGGGCCAGCAATTCATTAGCACTCAACTCAAAAAGGACTTGGCTATCTCGTGAAATAAGGGACTTTGATGACTATCCCCCCCGGAGTGTATAATAACGTGCCTCTTTTGTTTACTGGGGAATGCAACAAGATTAGACTTGTAAAGCAGGACCGATCGCTCTCATTTTCCTAGTCGCTCTGGCGGTGTATGATTTCCATTCTCGTGCTTCTCGGATGCTTAAGGAACAGGGGACACGTCTTAAGAGGTTTCAGTATGCAGCCCTGCAAAGTTTTGCTCGGCGTAGCGCTGGAAACCAGACGCGGGCGCTTTCCCGGCAGCCCCTGCGCAGCCGAGCCACCTACCAGGGCTTCCCTGCCCACGGGCAGGGCCGAGGTGTAGGCCTCCAGGTACACGCGACTGCAGCGTCTCACCACCTCCAGGCCCTTGACGGTGATGTCCTTGGCGTCTCCCAGGCCCAGGCCGACCAGGTACAGCATTTCCAGTCCCAGGGGAGAGGAGGCCGGCGGACGACGCGAACAAGGAAACCGTCAGCCACGCCGAGGGCTCCCCCAGTCCGGACGCCCCGCGGGGCGGCCACGCGCGAGGGCTGGGCACCCTGGCGTCACGCTCAGCCGACTTGGCGGTGCTTTAAGCACCCCCTCGAAGCCGCTCGCCCAGTTACCCGACAGCACAACCGCAGCCGGCTCCCCGTGCTCCCCAACGTGCCCACTGCACCCTGAAAGCAGGTGCTGCTCCAAACCGGCCTCACCTACGGTGGTGCCGCAAAACGCGCGCGCTTTACGGCATTTCACGACCGGGCGGAGGGCGTGCGCGGGCGCGGCCCGGAGCCGGGAGCCCTGTCCCTGGAGAATGAATGACGCGCGGCCGGTTGCCGCGGGAGGGCGTGGGGTTGTGGCCCGGGGAGTCGGCGGGAAGCCCCCAGCCTCTGGGGAAGGCCCCGGCGTTCCCACGTCGCCCTGACCCATGGCTCTAACGTCCCCCTTCCTGCTCCGGGTAAGTCCCCAGCTCCTTGCCCCGCGGGAGCCGGCCTCGGGGTGCTGGGGCGGGCTTCCCCGGTGCGCTCCGGGCCCGCCCGCGCGCGCAGACGTTCATCCCCGCGCTCTGCTGTCTCAGCCAGCGGCGGCTCTACTGCGGGCTCCCTCGGATTGGCCCGCCACACGGTGAGGGCGGCTCCGATTGCCCAGCGGGGCACTGACTTCGCGTGTAGCTCGAAGACCTCCTGCCGGGATGCCCCCAAGGATCCGCTGCAGTCGTCATCAGCGTCGGGGATTCCAGACCCTGCTGTGCCTGGGGAAGTGACGTTTGAGAGCGCACAGGGGTTTCAGCCCTCTCTCAGATGGGGAATTCTTACAAAGTTGTTGGTATATAATTCTGGTGTCAGTAGGGTTTCGGCTGAAGACGCCCTTTCTGAATGCACTAGTGATGTCATCCAGAGAAAGTTCTCCTGGCTTACGCTGTCTTTCTTGGTGGGCAGTTTTGATCGAGCTTTGCCTTGTGTCTGTGTATCTTGCCCAATTCTAGTTGTGGTTCTTTTGAGAGTTCCATCTACCTTTGGCATCTGTCATTTTGTACACTCATGGGTGCAAATTCTGTCCGTTCTCACTACACTGATTGATTCCTCACACCATATGGGGGGGCAGGTGGGGGCACTCTTGTAATCTCAGCTACCAAGGAAGCCCCAACTAGAGGATCCCAAGCTGGAAGCCAGCCTGAACAACTTAGCAAGATCTTATCTCAAAAAATAAAAAAAGCTGGGGATGTAACTTAGTGGTAGTACACCTCTGGGTTCAATGCCCAGTGTGTGTATGGGGAGGAGGTGTTAAATTTTACACAGTTAAGAATTTAAAGAGATGTTTAACATCATTAAACATTGAAACAATGAAATTTTAAACCAGGGTGAGATACCACGGTATACGTACTATAAAAACAAAACCTTAGAAAAATTGGCTATCCAATCTCATAAATCCAGTTATCTTTTATACTTTACTATGTCAAGTTTCAACCTCCCATACAGGCCTTTTCCCTTGGCCTTTTATATTAACCTTTTGCAGGAATTCTTCACCCCGAGGCATAGCAATTTCAACACCTCCAGAGCTGAAGCCATCAGCCTCCCTTCCATATTGGCATTTCTCTCTGTATTACCTACTCGGAACACAAGGAGGAGGTGTCATCCCCAGATTTATCCAATCAGGTCCTTGGGAGGCACCCCCATATCCACTGTCATGTCTGCTTTTGTTTCTCAATGAAAGCCGTGCCTGCGGTCACTGCCTTGGTTCAGGTCCGCATTCTCTCACTGCTTTAGCTGGTTATCATGTCTCCTTCACATTCAGCCTTTTCTCAATGGCCAAGGAGCTCTAAGAAAGATAGCTTCTGAAAATGTCACTCCCATTCTAAAATCTTTCTGAAGCCAGCAGGAAGTTCAGGCTGCTTAACACATCTCACAATATCATCCGTGGTATGGTCACTGCCTAGTCTCCTCTCTCTCCACCTAATGAGCTTTTCCCCCAGCAATACTGATTGCCTATAGTGCTGTTCCTACAGTGTGCTGCTTTGCAGCTCTGCGCTGCCATTTGGGCATAGAATACCATGGCCCATTCTCTCTCAACAGGATAATCACTACTCGTCCTTAAACCCAGAAAGCCTTCCCAAAGGTCTCCAAACCCCTACACTGTTGGGTGTCTTCTCTTTATTGCGCTGATGATCTGTCTATATGTCAGTTGATGTCCTTCTGTATTTCTTCTTTACTTAATCAATTTCCTGAAGTCAGGGACTGTCTTTTTCATATTCTCTGTCCTAACACTTAGCATCATGCCTGGCACATAGTACATATTCAATAAATGCTTGATAGTAGTTGAGCAATATCTTTTGAGTTATGTGTTTTCTGCCTTATCAAATGCAGGGGTAATGTGTTCTAAATGATGATCAAAAATTCATCAGTAGAATATTGCACATAAACTCATGCTACTTTTAGGAAGCAATTTGTGTTGAAAGGCTCATGACATATCAAATATACTTCATATGCACACCATTGAACAATGAAATTTTCAGAAGGCCAAAATTTTGTTTTTGTGTTCAGATTTTCTATGAATAATTTGAAGTAGAGTCACAGTGAAAAGACATTGCCGAAAAGAATAAGTAATCCAAAGAAAGGTTTGCCTTATTTTCTTTGAGGAAATAAATATGTCCTGGAAAATGTTTTGTAGCAGCAAGGAATTGAAGCACTATTTTTAGATATAGAAGAAATTTCAGTGTTTGGTCTTCAGAATTCAACTGAAAGAACTTACTTATGCTATAGAATTCTTAACAGACCTATTTTTTCTACTTGCCTTCATTCCGCACTAGGAGTGTCAAGTTTTGGGACTTTGCTAGAGGTGGATAGATAAAATAAAGGGGTTATGACAATCTTTTCCCTCCTCAGTTCAACAAATATGAGCAGCAAGGTTTTGCCTTATTTGCAGAACTCTTCTGTGGGATTTGGATGTTTCTACCTTGAATAGACTTTTTTTGGGGGGGGGGCACGGGTACTGAAATCAAAGTCAAGGCCTTGCACTTGCCAGGCAGGTGCTTGTGCCACTGAGCTATATCCCCGGCCCTGTTTCTCCCTTTAAAACAGGTTTCAAGTGTAACTTTCAGGAAAACTTTCGAGTGTAGGAACACTGAAACACTTTTATAGTAAGTGTCCCTATAGCCACCTAGACTCTGCATTTGGTAACAGTCTGCTGTATTTGCCTTGGGAATCTCCTCAGCCATCAACTACTGTCTTTCTTGATGCATTTCCAAAGGAGTTTCAGGCATCAGTATATGTGATTATATTTTGCTTAAAAGATAGCCTTTCTAGGTCACAGATTAATAAAATATATCCAGCATATAGCTGATTAAATCATATCATTGCTTCACCTTATTAGGGTAAGCTGAAAAAATGCTTACTTTAAAACAGTTACTGAGCATTTTTTAATACATTGTAGCATTTTTGTAATGATAACGAAAGCAGTCAGAATACTGATTTATTTAAAATGTCGCAGCAAAATTTAAGCCTCGTGTGTAGCAGGCGAGAGGGATGCTTATAGAGCACAGTGGCTCCAGAACAAACCTCAAATGAAGATACCTTTTTTAATTTAAAGAATAACAAGAATCAGTGAGGCCTGTGGAGTTTTCTGCTTTGTACTCCTACTTTAGGTAGAACCATACCAAATTACCCTTGAAAGTGAGTATTCAGGCACTTGCTGAGAGAGCGTTAAGATGGTTTTGAATCTTTGCCAATAACTCATTCTTAGTACCTTCACTATCAGAAGTTCTTCCTTAATTCACTTCCATGCAGTAGTCGTAAAATGTGTGAGAGTCAAAGAAGTAAAAACACAGAGGTTTTCTACTTGATTGTCATAAACACACCACGTACTGCATTTATTTTAAGATAATAACATAGCTGACATGCTGCATTGCCTTGTGAACAAGTTGTAATTACCTCACATCTAAAAACTCGTCTCTCAAATTTCCTATTTGAGCTGGCTTTTTGTCTATTGAAAAGAAACCATTGGGAGGACTGACTAAACTCCATCTGACCTTATTGTGAATAGAGAATATTATTTTACTCTGAAGCTGGCCTTTTAACCTACATACTCCCAGAGATTGCCTTTGTTAGAAGAAATCTTGATTAATTTTCTTAGAGTCTAGAGACCTTGAATTTATTGTCATTGTTTGCTAACAATTCATGAATAAATGGTAATTTAAAATAGCACTGCTTTACGAGGAGCTATGTTTACTAATGTTAAAAACAGATTTGAAATTATTTTATTGTACATTTATTTACTTAGGAAAAAAGTTCTTGTTCAGTCATCTTATTTACTTATCCATTTTATATTATTGAGTGATGTAAAATGAATAAATAAAAAATTTAGACCTGTTTTCTGTGAAAATTATGCCAGATTTTATTATTGTCATTAACCCTAGCTTATAAGGTTTGAGATTAACCATGTGGAAGTCATCTAAAACCCAATATGTAAAGTAGCTCCTTTATTTGTGTGTGTGTGTAAATGTGAACTATTTCTGTTTCTAACACATTTCATACTTGCTAGTTCCTTCATATTTTATTGCTAAATAGAATCAATGATGCACATTTTCACTTTTTATGCTTAAAACTTGTGTCCCTTTAAGTTGTATCTAGAGAAAAACATTTAAATTAGCCCGGTTTGCTGGGAAGAGGGAAGTGGCCTTTCCAAGTGACCCCCTGGGCTGTGTAGTGCTCATGTGTTCGAACCCCTGCAGTTGTCTGTGTCGCTGTGCTTTCACCTTTTTATTTTTTTATTTTATTTTATTTTTTTTTGGTTTTTCTCCGGTACCGGGAACCGAACTCACGACCTTGCGCTTGCCAGGCAGGCGCTTTTGCCGCTGAGCTAAATCCCCAGCCCCGCTTTCACCTTTTTAAAACTTTGCCCAAGGTTCACCTCCTCGGTGAGTCCTGTCTTGCGTCAGGCTGCAACCAACATTTCTGATCGCTTTTTGTGCACATTTCCCCTCGTGGGGAAGCCTTTTATGCTTACAGTGAGGTTTTTTTTTCCCGTGATAAATCTAGATGCTATCAACCAAAATTAAATCCCTGCCTCTATCAAGTTACAGGATTTCACAAGCAAATTGTCTTTGAGGAATTTGGTTTGCATTTCAAAATCCTTGGCAGACATTTTATACGATTCATCCAAACCTTACTTCCTTGCATTTTACTTTGGGTCCATTCGCATAGACTGTAAACGGCCTGCTTAG